GTGAGCATATTACTACTTGGATTTATAAATAATCATAGTGCCTTTTTTATTTTATGTCTTATGCAAAGTATCACATACTTTACCTTTAATGATAAGGTTTATGAACATGTGCAAGGCCTAGTTATGGAATCTTGCTGGGCTCTTAATTTAGCCAATAATTACGTGTCTAAAATGGAGGAACACTTCATGGAAGAGGTACGATTGACGCCATAACTGTTAGTTAGATATATGGATGACTACTTTGCCATATGGCAGCATGGCAAGGATAGTTCAGATAATTTTTTGTTTTTAATTAATCAGATTGACTGCAATGCTAAGTTAACAATGGAAATGGAGATGAACAATAATTTACCCTTTTTAGATGTCTTAGTGATCAGAGCAGGTGAGAAGTTAGGCAGGGATGTTTATTGAAAGCCAACGCATGCTGGCTTTATCGTTAACTTCTTCTACAATCATAGTTATAAAACAAAGGTTGGAGTTTTAAAATTTATGATTAAGACTATCCAATAGAGACTGTTGTGAAAATGAACTGGATCGGCTTAAAATAATATTTCTTGAGAATAATTATCCCTTAGGTTTGATTGAAAATAACAGATTAATAAAGAATAGCTTTTTGATTGATAAATACGTATGAAGAGATAAGACCTTTTCTCATATTTTGTCTTTACCTTCATGCATTCTCCCTAAAAGGATATGTGGACAAGTATGAAAATGGGGATTGATAACCGTTTTCAAGGGAACTAGTACACTTTCTTCAGTTGTGCTCACTTTAAGAGAAGAAGTTGACCCATTCTCCAAATCGGGTTGGTACAAAATAATGTGTTTATGTGGTCGTTTTTATGTTTGAGAGACTTTTCGTCCTATTCGACAAAGGGTGGCTGAACACAAAAGCGCCTGCAAAGACTGTCGGGTTCAAAAAATCGAAGCTAGGTGAACACGGTGGAAACGGGACCCGAGATTGTATGGTCTCAAACTTATCGTTTTGATGATTATGGCATGTCTGCGGATAAACATAAAATTAGAGAAGCCATAGAAATAAACAGACTAGAGAATACATTGAATGTAAGGAATACCAGTAAGAATATAAGTAAAAATTACTTGTGCTTATTTATTAGACTCAAGGATAGATAGGTTATTGAGCCAACTGCAAGAAGGAGACTCAACTAATCTTGTCTTGTCTTGGTTCTAATCACAAACAGTCATTCTTAATTTTAGCCCAATCTTTCTTGCATGAAGACCGGAAACCGCATCAACATAACCAGACGTGTGTCCGACCTTGCGCAATCAAAGTAATGGTTATAACATTTATGTAGTAGAAAAGGGGAGATAGTGGTAATCAAACTTTGATGGCCGAGAACAGACGTTAATTTCGCTGTCATAATTACTTTGAGTCATCACTTCTGGTTTCGTTCATAAGCGAACACAAACAGGCATATACACATACATAGACAGACACAGGCTTCGAGGTTGACAATGACCGTAACTAACTAAATCACTTTATACCTGATCAAAGAGGCCAGATATAGAGTATATATACCGCTTTTTAGGGATTTGCAGGTGAGTTTTCTTGACTCGTTAGTTTGAATTTAGTTGTGACCATGATACCTTGCTCTGATGATGTTCGTCATGACGGACAAAAGCCTACCACCTTTTTACCGTAATCGAAGGAGATTACCTCGGAAATAGCGTGAGCATGAATTTTCGAGTAAAGTTAATCTACAGCTAGTCAAGAGGAATTCGCTGTCGTCGTTTGGTGGAATTGACATTCGAATCTCTTCACCGAACACTTTCACTCGAAATGGAAGTAATCTCAACATTTATATGTCTTGCCTGATAATTGAAAAACATTAAACATCATGAATGTTATAGAATATCGCTAGATGCCAAAGCCTCACTTAATAATGTATTTGTAATTTGCGTGAACTCTGTATTGCTTCCGTAAGTATCTTAATAACACTGGATTTCAAAATAACTGCAAAATAATACTGCTAACAACTGTGTTTTTCTTTAGAATCCAGAATCTACTTTTGTAAAAGAGATGACTTATCGAGCCTCGAATCAACGCCGTGGTCACACAGAGCCTACTACGCCAGCCACCAATCTTAACAATGCTTATCGCATCATAAAGGAAGTTCTCAAACGGTTTCGGTCACGTGAGGCTGAAGAAAAGGAACGGGCAAATCTGGTTGAACAGGAAGAGATCCTGCTGAATAAATTAAAGAATGGACCGCGCCTTAAGGACTTGGCAATTCGGCCAAACATAGTAACAAAACGCATAACAGGTAAGCGCAACAATATCCATTTATCATTCTAAAATCGTTTAATTCATTCCTTTTCTCTTCAAAGAATCTTTGCATCTTTTCGTTAATTTAAATTAGCTATTTTATTGCCTCTGTTATCATTTTTGTCACGGAGCAACAAGTATAGAATTAAACAAGCTTTTTTTTGTTTTTGGGCAGAGTTTT